CCAGCTAATTTTTTGTATTTTTTTTTAGTAGAGACGGGGTTTCACCATGTTGACCAGAATGGTCTCGATCTCTTGACCTCGTGATCCACCCACCTCGGCCTCCCAAAGTGCTGTGATTACAGGCTTGAGCCACCACGCCTGGCCGAAAGTTCTTTTCTTTAAGGATGTTGAATATTGGTCCCCCACTCTCTTCTGGCCTGTAGGGTTTCTGCTGAGATATCTGCTGTGAGTCTGATGGGCTTCCCTTTGTGGGTAACTCGACCTTTCTCTCTGGCTGCCCTTAGCATTTTCTCCTTCATTTCAACCCTGGTGAATCTGACGATTATGTGCCTTGTGGTTGCTCTTCTTGCGGAATATCTTTGTGGTGTTCTCTGTATTTCCTGGACATGAATATTGGCCTGCCTTGCTAGGTTGAGGATGTTTTCCTGGATAATATCTTGAAGAGTATTTTCCAGGTTGGATTGATTCTGTCCGTCACATTCAGGTACACCTATGAAACGTAGATTAGGTCTTTTCACATAGTCCCATATTTCTTGTAGACTTTGTTCATTCCTTTTTACCCTTTTTTCTTGAATCTTGCCTTCGTTTCATTTTGTTGAGTTTATCTTCTATCTCTGATATCCTTTCTTCTGCTTGGTCAATTCAGCTGTTGAAACTCGTGTATGCTTCATGAGGTCTTTGTGTTGTGCTTTTCAGCTCCATCAATTCACTTGTATCCTCTCTCAGCTGTTTATTCTCGTTAGCATTTTGTCAAACCTTTTTTCAAGGTTCTTCGTTTCTTTTCATTGGGTTAGAACATGTTATTTTAGCTCAGAGAAGTTTCTTATTACCCACCTTCTGAAGCCTTATTCTGTCAATTAATCACACTCATTCTCCATACAGCCCTGTTACCTTGCTGGTGAGGAGTTGTGATCCCTTTGAGGAGGAGTGGTGTTCTGTTTTTGGGCGTTTTTATCCTTTTTGCTTTAGTTTCTTCCCATCTTTGTGTATTTATCCATCTGTCATCTTTGGAGTTGTTGACTTTCAGATTGGATCTCTGAGTGGACATCCAGTTTGTTGATGTTGAAGTTATTTCTGTATTTTTTCTTAGTTTTCCTTCTACCGGTCAGGCCCCTCTGCTGTAGGACTGCTGAGGTCCACTCCAGGCCCTGCTTGCCTGGGGATCACCTGCAGCGGCTGCAGAACAGTAAGGGTTGTGGCTGGTTTCTTTTTCTGCTATCTTTGTCCCAGAAGGTTACCTGCCAGATGTCAGTCTGAACTCTCCTTTATGAGGTGACACTTTGGATATACGGGGGTCAGGGAGCTGCTTGAGGAGACAGTCTGTCCTTTATAGAAGCTCAAGTGCTGAGCTGTGAGCTCTGTTGTTCAATCAGAACTGCTGGGCAGGTATGTTTAAGTATGCTGCAGCAGAACTCATAAATGCCTTTTTTTTCCCCCCAGGTGCTCTGTCCCAGGGAGTTAGGGCTTTATTTATAAGTTTTTGTCATGCTGCTGGCTTTTTTCAGGGCTGCCCTGCCCAGCTAGGAGGCAGCCTAGTCACAGTCTTATGTGCAGAGGCTTTGCTGAGCTGCTGTGGGCTCCACCCAGCTGCCCTGTGAACTTCCCTGCAGTACCTCCAAGCTTTCGCTGGGAGCTGCTCCTAATCGGCCATCTTGGATCCATCTCCTATGCTATTCTTTTAGTTACATAGATTTAAAAATCTCCCACCATGATTGTGGATTTGTTCATTAATCATTATAGGTATATTGACATTTGTTTTAGACATTTGAAGCTATAGTTTTAGGTGTATACAAATGTGCATAAAACTTGTTGCATTAAATTCTTCATAAAATTGTTTTGGTGCATAAAAATTGTTCCTGCTGACAACAAATCAAATCGTTTTTTGAGCATGTCTTCCTCAGTCTGTAGTAATGATTTTTTCCTAAATCTAGTCTGATATTAACAATGTCAATACCAGTTTTCTTTGGTTAGTGTTAGCACATTATATTCTGACCATTATTTTAGTTTTAATCTTTCTATATCCTTGTATTTTAGATGTTATAGGGACATGGTGTTGGATTTTGCTTTTCAACTAGTCTGGCCGTGTTATTAGGCTGTTTCTTGCATTGCTATAAAGAAATACCTGAAACCGTATAATTTATAAAGAAAAGAGGTTTAATTGGCTCACAGCTCTGTCGGCTATACAGGAAGTGTAGTGTGGGCATCTGCTTGGCTTTTGGGGAGGCCTCAGTTAGCTTGCAATCATGGCAGAAGGTGAAGCGGGACCAGGCATTTTACATGGCTGAAGCAAGGATGGGGAAGGAGCCACACACTTACAGCCAGATTTTTAGAAAGCTCACTCACTACCACAGGGTAACACCAGGCCATGAGGGGTCCACCCCTATGACCCAAACACTTCCCCCTAGCCCCTCCTCCAGCACTAGGGATTACATCTCAACGTGAGATTTGGAGGGGACATCCAAACTATATCACAGTCTTTCTACTTACACTTAATGGAATTCCCAACACATGGGGTTTTGAATCTGCTTACTTTATTTGCTTTTTATTTTTTTTCACCTAGATTTTGTTCTTTTTCTTTTGGCATTCATATGATTCCAATTTTCTCTATTGATTTGTTAATTATATATATTATTTTAATGATTACCCAAATAATTATAACCTGTCTTTTGGCTTACCAATGTTTAGTAAAAATTTTTCATTTTCTTTGTCTTATTTGGCATCCCAAGGATCACAAAATACTCAATTTACTCCAGACTTAAAAGCTTTTCTAGTTTTATCTCTGTATTTAAACCTTATAAGACATGATGATGATTTATAAATAACCAATATATATTTCTGATCTTTCATTTGAGATTAGTTTTCTTTTTAAAGAATACCTTTTTTTTTTTTTTTAAGTAAGGGACTGATGATAATGAATTTTCTGTTTGTTGTCCCTCTAAAATGTTTTTATCTCCCTGTTATTCTTGGTGTGTCTTGATGTGTATTTTTGCTCACTACAGAATTGTTAGGAGTAACTTTTAGCACTTTGAATATATTTTTTTCATGTCATTTCATTTTAAAAGTTGGCTGTCAGTCTTTTGTTATTTTCTCTTTGGTTTTTATCCATTTTACTGTGATGTGCTTGGGTAGCTTTTATTTTACCCTACAGCTTAGAGGAAAAATCATTGAAATAATTGGAGGCTAAGGGAGATGATATATTCCAGACTAGATTTATGTCTTCTTCTGATTGGGAGCATGGTCCACTAGCAATTGCAGATCACTTTAATTCTTACATTGGAATTGAGCTGATTGGAGCTGAGCCTCATCCTTATGAGAACCAGTCAGATGTTGGTTTACCTTTACTGCTGGGTGTATCCCTTTGTGGTCTCATCCCAAAGCATGAATATTTTTTACTTTTATGTCTCTCTCTCTCTGTCTGTCTGTCTGTCTCTCTCTTTTACACACACACACACACACACACACACACACACACACACAGATGCTGAACCCCCCCCCCCCAATGCCAGTCGTTCATTGGCAGATTCAGTTTTTATACCTGTATTCCCACAAGAATAGCTTTGCTTAGCCTTTTCTTGAAGCAGCAGGTACCCTTAGGGAACACCATCCCCAATGTTGGGCCTACCTCTCCGGGTTACTTTCTTCTCTTAAATTTTGGCCCCCTAAATTTGCACTGCTTTTTTATTATTTTATTTCTCTTTTTATTTTTTATTTTATTTACACTGCTTTTTAAGCTTGCTAGTGCTTTCAAAGAGATTTTTTTGAATACGCTGTTCAGTTCTAATTGTTCTTAGCAAGAGGTTGGTTTGCATTACCTTGTCTGCTGTTACTAGAGACAGAAGTCTTAACATGTGTTTTTTTGTTGTTGTTAAATAGTTTTATGTTTTTTAACTGTTATGCTCATTTCATTTTTTTTACTCATGATTCCTATTTGTGTCTTGCTTAATTCTAACAGTTGAATGAAATTACTAGGAATTATACTTGTTATCACAATAACATAAAAATATCAGTTTTTCAACCTCAGTATCTTAAATTTTGGTTTAAAATTATCTGATTTAGTTTTACCATGTAATTCCTGATGATTTTTTAAAATAAACAATAATCCATTTTATAAATAACCTGGTACTATATAATTAAAGTTGATAGCAGCTGTCTTTTTCATTAGGATATTTAACTGGTATACCCTTAATTTTTTTGTTGCTGTTAAATCCTACATCATGCTTATAAAGATCAAATGAATACAGTAGCCCCCTCTTTTCCACAGTTTGCTTTCTGCAGGTTTAGTTACCTATGGTCAACTATGGTACAAAAATATTCAATGAAAAATTCCAGAAATAGTTTATAAGTTTTAAATTATATGTCATTTTTAGTAGCATGATGGAATCTTCCCACCACCTTGCTCCATCATGGTGGAATGTGAGTCTTTCTTTTGTCCAACTTCTCTACCCGTATTCACTTGTTGCCCATTAGTCATTGAGTAATGTTTGGTGATGAGATCAACTCCAGTGATACCGCAGTGCTTGTGTTCAAGTCACTCTTATTTTGTAATGGCCCCAAAGTGCAAGAGTAGTGTTGCTGGCAATTTGGATACACCAAAGCACTATTAAGTGCTTCCTTCTAGAGAAAAGGTAAAAGTTCTCGACTTAATAAGGATAGAAAAAAAAAATATGCTGAAGTTGCTGAGGTCTGTGGTAAAATGAATCTTCTTCATGTGAAATTACAAAGAAGGACAGAGAAATTCATGCTTCACACTCCAAATTGCAAAAGTTCTAGCCACAGTGAGTGATAAGTGCTTAGTTAAGATGGAAGAGGCATTACATTTTTGGGTAGAAGATAGGAACAGAAACATGCCCTGATTGACGACAGTCAGATTTGGTGCTATCTGAGGTTTCAGGTATCCACTTGGGGGTCTTGAAATACATTTCCCAGAGATAATGGGGGACTACTGAATGTTCATGAAACTGGGGTAAATTTATCTGATGTTTAATTTTCCTCACATCTAGGACACTTCCTTCATGAGCAACAAACCCCAAAGATACAAAGACAAGCTACCAGATAGTGATTCTATGCTTAGGATCAGCACTATTGCTTCAGCCATCGCAGAGGCATCAGTTAATACTGATCCTTCCCAACTTGTTGCTATGATCAAGGCACTTTCAAATAAAACCAGAGACAAGACTTTTCAGGAACATGAGAAACAAAAGGATGGTTCTCATGTGTGTCACTTCTTACTTAATGATTTAGAAAAAAGTAATGGATCCAGTGCATTTGATATGGAGAAATACCTTAGAAAAACAGAAATTAGTAGATATGAAAGTGGATTGGAAAACTTTTCAAGGGCTGGTATATCTGATGTTTGGGATTTATCTTTGCCCAAAGAACAAACTGCTCAAGATATTCATACAGTGGACGTAAGTGCTACTAGTATAAGTGTGAGGGAACCAGAAGAAAACACAGCAGCTATTGTTCATGTTGAAAATGGGGAGAGTGAGAATCAAGAGTCATTTAAAACTATAAACTCTTCAAATTCACTTACAAATATGAGAGAGAATGGCAATGCAATACTTGATGTGAAGACATGTTCCATTGACAACAAATTAGCAGATGTTGGTAACAGTGAAAAAGCCACCTCAATTTCTACTCCATCTGATAGTTATTCATCAGTGAAGAACCCCAGGATAACATCCCTTTGTCTGTTAAAAGACTGTGAAGAAATAGGAGATAATAGAGAAAATCAGAGGCAGAATGAGTGTGTCAGTGAAACAAGCAACAGTGAAAAGCATGTGACTTTTGAAAACCATTGCATAGTCTCACCTAAAAATAATGGTAAGTGTATGAGTTATTGGTCATGTTCATAAAATTGCAAAGTTTATTTCCTCTTCTCACTGGAAAATACTCCTGTCTGATAGATTTGAAAAAGACCTCTCCTGAGCATGGTGGACGTGGCTCAGCGGATGAGCAGGAGAGCTTCAGACCTTCCACATCACCACTGAGTCATTCTTCTCCTAGTGAAATATCCGGAACAAGTTCATCAGGGTAAGTGTGTACCTTTTTTAAAAAATTAAAAATACATGCTAAGTATAGGAAATTGGAAAAAAGTGTAAAGAAGAAAAATTACTCATCTGTGCGCTCATCTCTCAAAGGTAACTCTTGTAAGCTGTGAATTTCTTTCCAGCTATTTTTATGCAAATTTTTGTACACTGCTTTTTTTTCATTCATTATAACAATTATTCAACGAATTTAAAAGAAAACTAGTAATGTTACAGACTGCCTAATATATCTGTCATGGTTCATTTGATACTTCTGGTGAGTACTTTGTATCTTAACTGTTTTGCTATCTACATGATATTGGGATGAATAACTTTGTTCATAAAATTTGAATTTTATGAATGTCTTTTTGTGGCTTTATAAGAAATCTTTTATATGTTTATTGAAAGATTCTAATAAATGGAAAATTTTGCCTAACCAGTGAAATTAACAAAAATGTTAAATGTAGTTTTGATTTCTTTCAAAATACTGGATTTCAAAGATCTATTAACTATTTCCCAAGCTGCCATTAAAGTTTTTCATATTCATCTGAATCAACATGGTATGGTGCTAAATATCAGTGGAGAGCTTACATCTTTCTCTGACTCCTTATGGATGTCTCAGTTTCATTTTCATATACAACGTCACTTATTTAATAGTTAATCGCATTTTATTTTTTATTTTTTGAGAGGGAGTCTCGCTTGTGGCCCAGGCTGAGGAGTGCAGTGGCGCGGTTTCAACTCACTACAGCCTCTGCCTCATTGGTTCAAGTGATTCTCCAACCTCAGTCTCCCAAGTAGCTGGGACCACAGGTACATGACACCATGCCTGGCTAATTTTTGTATTTTTAGTAGAGATGGGGTTTCACTCTGTTGACCAGGGTGGTCTCAAACTCCTGACTTCAGGTGATCCACCTGCCTTGACCTCCCAAAGTGCTGGGATTACAGGCATGAGCTACTACACCCAGCCTGCATATTTTAACAGATATATTACTAGTCACCCAGCCCAAAGCAAATTTGAAGATTGTATGGCTGTGACATGGCATAGTATGTTTAAAGTCTTTGGCTTATACATTCTTCTCTTATGTTTCTTATATTGTATTGCTTTGCTGTCCCTATGGAAGACTAGAGGGATATCTGAGACTAGACTGATTCTTTTTGCCTTTGAATTGACTTGATCTTTTTGCAAGTTTTTGCCCAAATTCTTTATTTTTCAAGTCTAATAATTTTATTAGGCTATATCTCTGCGTTGATTCTTCATTATTACTTTGGTGTATCATACAGTATGCCCCCCTTTTATTTTGCATGTGTTTTTGCAGTTCACTTTTCATTATTTGAGGAAATTTTACCTAAACGCACTTGTTCTTGTTAACCAAAGGAGTCAAACCAATACAGCACATCATCCAGTGACTCAGAACATTTTCCGTGCTATATCATGCTGTGTGTGTGTGTGTGTGTGTGTGTGTGTGTATGCATGTGCATTCATGTATGCATGTGCATACAGAAACCCATGTAGATACATGTCATGCAGAAGCTAAAGAAGGCCTGAAGCAATTTGGTTAGTAATACTTTGTCACCATTGGTTGGAAAATTACTAAATGGTATTTTGACAACACCATCTTGATTTGGGACTTTTTAAAAGTTCAGAATTCAAATTTGAATTATCTGTGTATGTCCGTTGCCTAGCTAAGTATTCTGAACCTTGTACAGAAAAGAAAGATGGTGGAATCCAGTCAAGTGAAGGGCTGAATTGAAGCTAACTGGCAGAGTGTAGGTGTGTAGACTGTTTCCAAAGGTAGCTTGACACTTACTTCCTATCCCTTGTGCTCTTTTGCACTGTGACTTTGCAGCTTCCCCTCAAGAGGTACAGTCTCTTTTCTGCTCCTTGCCTCTCAGCTGGCAGCTCTATGAAAGGTGCTAATGAACAGAATAATGAGGAAATAACCCTGGTGTATGTTTAGATTGGGGTGGGACTCACTATTTGTCGCTTTCTGATCTTTTCATTTTACGTTTTATGGTAGGGACATGTGTCTGAGCCAAGGCTAGAACAACATCCTTTTGAATGGCTGCATAATGTTGTACTGCATGTCTGTCCTCTGATTTTTGTAGTTCAGTTCCTTCTGTGTGATTTAAGATTTCCCACTTATTATCCACAGTGAAGTGATGACATGTCCTTTTTGTGAAGTCTTGATACTTATCATTAACTTTTTTTCCTCAGGATAAATTCCTAGATGTAGAATGTCTGAGTCAAGAGACCTTTGATATGTATTGCTTAATTGCTCAACCGAAAGTTGTACCACTTGATAGTCTCATAGTGGTGTGTGACTATTTCCATTTCTTTGCACTTATCTGTGTGATTTTTTTTCCTCTTTGCTCTTTGAGGGTGGGAATTCTTGAATGCTTCTGTTCATTTTCCTATATCGGATACTTACCAGATTTTTATACAATGAATAGCTAACATTGCTATGTTTCTTTATATGGTATTTATTAATGAAAATGCCACAATACATTTTACAGTAGCTTAACAGATGCTTCATTCAGTGGGAATATCCTTTACAACTTTAGATAATTAATTTTAAACATTGAATTTGTGATTGAGTTATTTGCAAGATTATAGGCACATAGGAATGATTTTTTGCTAATGTAGATAGTTGAAGGACTGGAGAATTCCTGATGTGAGCTACTCTTCTTTTGCAGGTGCGCGTTAGAGTCCTTTGGTTCAGCAGCTCAGCAGCAGCAGCCTCCCTGTGAGCGGGAATTGTCTCTCTTGGCGTGCTCGCCTGCTGGGGTGAGCAGGCTGACGTATGTGTCTGAACCAGAGAGCTCCTATCCTACCACAACCACAGATGGTGGCCTGGAGGACTGCAAGGTGGGCAGCCACTTGGATTATTTATTACTAAGGCTGTCAACTCTCTATAGTTCAAGCCTATAAAACTTCTGTGTTTCTCTTTTACCTTTAAAATGATTATTGTATGTGTACAAATACTAAATACGTACTCATGCTGGTAGTCACAGAGGTATAGATATTTTAGGATCTGCCCTCGAAGAGCTCTGTCTGGCAAGGCATATTGTGTAATGAAGTGCACCATGCTGCTCACATACTATGGGGACTCAGAAGGTGGGGGGTTGGAAGTCTGACTGCCTGGGGGGTGCTTCAGCAAAGGTTTCTGGCAGGAATAAATACACTGAAGCCATACTTTGCAGGACTGCTAGGAGTTAGGCAGGGAGGAAGCAGAGTTAATTCTTGGGGAGGTGGGGAGTTGTAAGATACATACTGCATCTGAGGTACTCCAGGAAGTTTAGAATAGCCACAGTGACTCATGTCAGTGGGGAGAAGTAGATGAGGCTAGAAGAAGGGTGGCCAAACTGTGAACGGTGCTGGGTTTAAAATATCAGAGTTAGAAGGCTTTTAAGCAGGTCACTGTCATCTGTTTTGATTTTGTTTTTTGTATTTTTTAGAAATGGTCTTATTCTGTCACCCAGGCTGGATTACGGTGACACAATTACAGCTCACTACAGCCTGGGACTCCTGGTCTCAGATGATCCTCCTGCCTCAGCCTCCCAAGTAGCTGGGATTACAGGTGTGCACTAATCACATCTGGCTAAATTTTAAATTTTAAATTTTTTATAGAGACAGAGTCTTGTTATGTTCCTTAGGCTGATCTTGTACTCCTGGGCTCAGGTGTTCCTTCTGCCTTGGCCTCTCAAGTAGCTGGGACTATAGGTGCCCACCACCACACCTGGCTAATTAAAAAATTTTTTTTTGTTAGAGACAGGGTCTTGCTATGTTGCCAGGGCTGTTCTTGAACTCCTGGCCTCAAGTGATCTTCCTGCCTTGGCCTCCCAAAGTGGTGGGATTACAGGCATGAGCCACCAAGCTGAGGCTAGTTTGATGTTTTAAAAGCTCACTCCAACAGCAATGAAGAAGGAGGGACCAGGAGGAGCAAAATTAAAATCGGAGATTTGACATGAGGCTACTGTAGTGGTTCAGGCAAGATACAGTGCACACTTAGGCCAAGGCAGTAGCAGTGGGGATAGAATAGAAGATCAGAGAGATTTATTTGGGAGTAGCTAGTGTTAACCTGTTTTTGTGTGTGTATGTTGTAGATGTGAAAGTGTTCAATTTTTTAATGAGCTAACTATGACTGCTGTGGGTATGCTGCATAGTCCTTTTCCACCAAGCTATTGAAGTTACTGAATACAAAGCATAGTGTTAGAGCATTATACTCTTTTCTTTGATAGCTGTCTTTTTCACGTTGTTGTTGATAGTGAGTCTACATATTCTTATCGTAGCAGTTGAGAGCTGGGTTATGGTGTCAGATAACTTATCTTCTGCTGCCTTCTCAGACAGATTACTAAACTTCCCTCAAAACCTGTTTCTTCATCTGTAAGGAGGAATAGTATGTGAGGGCAGTGCTTGTCACCTAGTAAGTCACCACTGGATATATATTATTATTAATTGGCAAATAATACAGTCTTTGTGTCTTAGTGTCTTTATTTCTGAAGCTTTGGCCAGGAGAAATTTATAAACCAAGTACCAAAGCAGTCAGTGAAGGTTACATCTGTCTAGTCTCTAAATTTCAGCCAGTCCATCCCACAGAGCTGTAGGTGTTACTCCTCAGGTTATGTATTATGTACAAAGAAATGAGTGTGGACATTTACTGGGATTGTTAATTTCATGCTTCATAGAACCATACAAGTTTAGAAATGGGAGAGGGCTTAGAACACATAAAAGTTAACGTCTTTGGCCGGTGGCTCACACCTGTACTCCCAGCACTTCGGGAGGCTGAGGTGGGTGGATCACCTGAGGTCAAGAGTTCAAGACCATCCTGGCCAACATGGTGAAACCCTGTCTCTTCTAAAATACAAGAAATTAGGAGGGCGTGGTGGCAGGTGCCTGTAATCTCAGCTACTTGGGAGGCTGAGGCAGGAGAATGGCTTGAACCTGGGAGGTGGTTGCAGTGAGCCGAGATTGCGCCATTGCACTCCAGCCTGGGCAATAAGAGCAAGACTCCATCTCAAAAAATCAAAACAAAATTAGTTAACATCTTCGAATCTTCAGGCTTAGGCAGCAGCATGGACAGATGCTGGGGCGGGGCCCTGCTCGTCTACTGAGCCAATGCCTGACCTCAAGCTTGTTATTTCAAACTTGCTCGGCCCCCCCCACTCATTCATTACTAATTTATTGAGTTTTTTATTGTAAAGTTTACACAAATCCCTTAAATCTTAAAAAACTTATTAGACCTGGTCCTTTGTGCAAAATTTTCAGATGTACTTAGTGCATATCTCCTATTTATTATTATAATTCTTTTTACAAAACAACGAACACAAATTTTCTAATGTAAGTCTGCAAGACTTACATTTCACATTTCACAACTGCAAGACTACTCTTTTTGGGTAAATGAATTTTTTTTCAAAGAGAAACTTCATGGACATCTCTTTGTTATTTGAGCTTATACCAGCATAGTTTCAAATTGTTAAGTTTATCTGTGGATTATTAAAAATAAATTTTGTTGCACTCAGAGTGATATCACCAGCAAGTTGAGCACCACAATTATTCAAGCCAGTCCAGCCCCACTGGAGGAACGGGATATGGAAAAATTCAGAGAAAATGTTCCATTTCAGAATAGAGTTGTTATCCAGAGCAACTCTAATACTAGAAAAGCAACTGAAACTACTTCTCTGAGTAGCAAGCCTGAATATGTGAAACCTGACTTTAGATGGAGTAAAGATCCTTCCTCCAAAAGTGGAAATCTGTTGGAAACCAGTGAGGTAGATTTGACATCAAACCCTGAGGAATTGGACCCCATCAGGCTGGCTCTCGTGGGCAAGTCAGGTCTGAGCTGTCAGGTGGGGTCATCCACATCGCACCCTGTGTCCTGTCAGGAGCCTGTAGATGATGATCGAAGAATAATTTCTAAAGATATGTCAACTGCTGGCCATGAGTTCAGTGGCCAGGTTTCTCATCAGACCACCTCTGAAAACCAGTGCACTCCTATTCCCAGAAGCACAGTTCATGGCTCTGTGACTGACATGCAGAACATGCCTGCTACTCTGCACGCACTCTTGACGCAACCCTCTCTCAGCACAGCTCCCTTCGCTCAGCAGTATTTGGCAACACTCCCTTCAGCTGGAAGCGCCACCTTGCCTCAGTGCCATGCTGGCAGTGCCACAGTCTGTGGCTTCTCAGGAGGCGTTCCCTATCCAGCTGTTGCAGGAGAGCCTGTGCAGAACTCTGTGGCTATGGGAATTTGTCTGGGACCAAATATCGGCTCTGGATGGATGGGTACCTCTTCCCTCTGTAACCCATATTCTAAAGCCTTAAATCAGAACCTGCTAAGCACAGCAAAACCTTTCCCTGTGCCATCTGTTGGTACAAACTGTGGAACTGAACCATGGGATTCAGGAAGGACATCAGGATTGGGTAAGATGCTTTTTCTCTGTTATTGCTGCTTGCTATTATTTTCTCAAATGGCACCGCAAAGCTAGTTTGTTTCAAGGAGTTACTGGTGGTTAGCATTAATTCCTTGTAAGTTTTGTGCTTCTTCCTAAACTGAGAACACCATAATATATTTCTGTGCAAGGATCCCTGAAGTTGGCTTAGAAAAAAACGCTACACTATGCAGGTGACAGGCTGCATATGGCTTTGTCTTCTTTGTCTCTCTTTTGTTCTGTCATTGCAGTTTTATGGTTATTTCACATAGGAAATATGCAGTTAAGAGTTGAATGCCAGAATGAGTGAATGCTTCCACCTGTGAGTCTCTGGGTGGCTGTTGTGGTGGAGAGGCAGCACTCATGTGCGTCCATGGGGCAGCTTGTCTCTTGCTGACCGTCACTCTGCCTGCAGAGCTGGTAGCTGTGCTTTTCCTGACATGGTACACACCGCTACTGGGGTGCTGTCTTCTCTGCCCTCTGGAGCACCTATGTGAAGATGTTGGAAGATAGGTGGTATTGTTAAAATCTGATAGGTGTCCACTCTGGAGAGAGTCTCTGGAGTTTGTTTGTTTTTAGCATAAGCAGTGACATGATTTATGAAAGAAAAGGAAGAAATTACTTACAGGCACTAAGATCAAAGAATTGATTAGCTATAATTTTGAGCCTGATCCAATTTCAATTTTCTTTTCCTGAGCTGGGTGGAAGCAGGACAAAGTTGTTGGCAGGCCTCTGAGGCTCATGCAGTGTCAAGGACTCCATCTGGAGTGCATTGACTCTAGCTCTGAAGCATACAGGCCATCTTATAAACTCATTGCTATTTAGCAGATTTGGCTTATAATCAGGGGTTTGCTGTAACTTGCATTTTTGACTGTGTTTTATTTTCACCCAGGGAGTGTCCGAGTGCCTGAGGAGTTGAAGCTTCCTCATGCCTGCTGTGTCGGGATCGCTTCCCAGACCCTCCTCAGTGTGCTCAACCCAACGGATCGCTGGCTGCAAGTCAGCATTGGGGTCCTCAGTGTTTGTGTTAATGGTGAAAAGGTAGCTTTCCGTGTCTTTCTCATTTAACTTAACAGTTGCATTGTGATTAGGTGCTTGATTTCCCCTGACACAGTCATTGCCATGGCATCTTTTTCTCAGGCCCCTTTTGTTGTAGTGCTTATAGAGTGTAGAGTGAAACAGTGTGTTTTGCATTTTCCATCATTTATTAGTATTTATATTTTATTGTTATTTATTTGTAAAATCCTATAAATTTGCTTTTAGTGTTATTATTTAAATCATTAAAAGCGCTGAGTTTTTGGTTGCTACTTGTTAGTTTTGTTAAAGGTAATTGAATATAAGGTAACTATGATTTATTTAAAAAAAAAAAAGGAAAGCAGTTACTCTTGGAGCTTATGGCTTCATTTGGCAAGGGGAATCTTTTTGACTAATTTATCTGATGATTTTCTTACATGAGCTTTTGAAATACCTGGAAATGCAGTTTTAATGTGAATTCTTGTGACAGAGGTCTCTTACATAATCAACTACAGCTGCTGTAATTCTTGACCCTAAATCTTCTCTCCTGGTTACAGTGACCATTTAAATGTCGATGAGTAGGGAGGGGGTATATATGGTCAGCCGCTGTTTTGAAATATCCCAGTTTTATGACTGTTGCTTGCGAACCAGCCTTAGTGAATGTGTTTCCTCTTCCCTCGTGCCTCGTAGTGGCCATTGTTTGCCTGGTAAAGTAAGATTGCCTCCCCACAATCTTGGCTTTTCCCCTCTACTTCAAGTCCTCAGGTTAGATGAAAAGTGGGTGATTGAAGGAGAGGGTTGAGGGTGGAAGGTGGCCTGTGAAGACTCTTCTAGGGGCATTTTAGAGTCTGTGAATGAAACAGTGTTATCTTTGGAAATGGGGAGTAGAAAAGAAGATCCCCATTGACAGTGAGGAGGGAGGACAGCTGGAGTTGTCACTGCAGTCTAGGTGGGGTCAGGGCTGTGCGACCTCAGTGATTAGCCTGACTCTTCCCCCCGACCCCCCGTTCAGCTTTGTGTGTCCTAGAGAGATTTACAGGGCTATGAAAGAGTGACCCTTGTCAGTGCAGACAACTGAGGGTTCAGGTCAATGTGTTTGCTTGGAGGTGGACTGGGGAGACAGCCTTGGTGCAGCAAGAACATTCAGTTCATGAAGCATTTGACTCATTGTACTTTAGAGACCATGAGTGACAAGGTTTTGACATTTTTGAGGAGATAATAAATGTCTGAATTTGGCAGTTTGAGTGATAAGGAAAAAGGAATCTTAAACTAGGTAATTCTACTTGATTTTTAGTGTGAAGCCATTAACAACAAACTTTGTGGCTCTTGTTTGAAGGTGGATCTTTCAACACATCGTTGTTTAGTTTTCAAGAATAAAGTCATCATAAGACCTCATGCCACAGAAGAGATAAAAGTGCTTTTTATACCATCTGGTCCTGGGGTTTTCAGATGCACATTCAGTGTTGCTTCTTGGCCATGTTCAACAGATGCGGAGACCATTGTACAGGCGGAAGCTTTGGCCAGCACCGTCACTCTCACTGCCATTGCCGAGAGTCCTGTTATCGAGGTATCTGTTTGTAAATGAGTCATTGTCATACCTGGCATTTTAAAGAAGACTGTTTAACCTTAGAAGTAAAATTTGGGGAAAAGAAATTTGTGAACAGAAGTGCTACAAAAGTAGTTTCAAGCTAAACTTTGGTTCTCAATGTCTTTTTATTCCAAAATTTAAAATTATTTTTAGTTTTGCAGAAGCACAAGTATACTTGCTAAGATGTCTATAAAGCAGAGTATAAAGTTAAACACTGTTTTCCAACTGATTTCCATTGTATAATTAGATGTGCACTTAGGAACATGCCAGTGGTTCATATTCTTTTTATATTTCTGCACCCGGAGATTATTTGCTGGCTAGAAAAGTTTCCCTTCTCCAGTCTCCTATTTTCTGGAAGCCAAAGAAATTAGGTCTAGCCAAGTTGGGATAAAAGTGATCATTAGATTGTATGCTCATTTAGGATGATGGCTCTCAACCCTGGCTGCACATTGGAATAACACTGGGGGCTTGTAAATGTAACCCAATACCTGAGTCCCACATAGACTGACTAAATCAGAGTGAGGGAGGGGGTGGCTGCCTCTCGGTAATTTTTAAATCTTCCCAGATGATTACAAATTATAGCCTTAGTTAACAACCACTGCTTTACAAGAGCTATCTCCTCTTAGTTGATAGTGAAATCAGAACTAACATACTGAATGAAATTAAGGAATGTGGGAGGAAGAGATGGGAGGGTGCAGAACAGAGGAAAAGCAGAACAGGTCTTGATACAGTCATGGGTTGCTTAACAACAGGGATATACCCTGAGAAATGTGTCCTTAGGCGATTTTGTCATTGTGTGAATATCACAGAGTATACGTACACCAACCTAGATGGCACAGCCTTCTACACACCTAGACTATGGGAAAGTCCATTGTTCCCATACAGCTTGTTACTGTACTTAATACTGTCGGCAGCTGTAATACAATGGTAAGTATTTCTATATCTAAACATAGAAACGGTACAGAAAAAATACATTATAAAAGATTTTAAAATGGTACATCTTATAGGGCGCTTACCAGAGGACTAGAAGTTGCTCTCGGTAAGTCAGTGATGAGTGAATGTAAAGGCCTAGGACATTACTGTACACTCTTCTAGAATTATAAACACTGTACATTTAGTCTACACCAAATTCATAAAAATATAATTATACTATGATGTTATGATGGCTATGATATCACTAGGTTTTAGGAATTTTCCATCTCCATTATAATTTTATGGGACCACTGTCTTATATACAGTCCATTATTGACCAAAACATTATGTAGGATGTGACTTCAATTAAAATTTAGTTGATTTCAGCTGGGCACTGGCACACATCTGTCAAGGTGGGTGGATTGCTTGAGCCTAGTAGTTCGAGACCAGCCTGGGCAACATAGTGAGACTCTGTCTCTACACAAAATTTTTAAAATTAGCTGGGTGTAGTGGTGCATGCTTATGATGCCAACTCCTCAAGAAGCTAAGGTGGGATGATCACTTGAACTCAGGAGTTTGAGGCTATAGTAAGCTGTAATCACACCACTGCACTCCAGCCTGGGCAACAGAGCAAGACCCAGTCTCAAAGAAAAAAAAATTAGTTGATTTCCTAATATGGGAATTGAATTTAACATATTTAGCTAACCACACTTAACAGGCATACTGATGTCCTCCTAAAGTTAGTTAGTTGTTTCAAGCCAGGTGCAGTGACTCATGCCTGTAATCCCAAGCACTTTAGGAGGCCAAGGTGGGTGGATCACCTGAGTGAGGTTAGGAGTTTGAGACCAGCCTGACAACATAGCAAAACCCTGTCTTTGCTAAAAATACAAAACTTAGTCGGGCTTGGTAGTGCATGCCTGTAATCCCAGCTACTCAGGAGGCTGAGGCAGGAGAATTGCTTGAACCCGAGAGGCAGAGATTACAGTGAGCTGAGATCATGCTATTGCACTCTAGCCTGGATGACAGAGCAAGACTCTGTCTCAAAAAAAATAAAGTTAATTAGTTGTTTTATTCCACAAAGCTGTAACTGTGACTTGCAATTTAGAGGTGGGTGTTCGGGATGAAGGACAGGGCAGCTACTCTGGGAGACTGGTGAGAATCACAGGGTTTTCCTCATAGTACATGTTCTTCAGGGGAATGCTTAGTAACCTAACTCAACAACTTTATTTGCTCATGGGCGTGGAGGAGGAAATCAATTGTAAATCTTCTCATAAACTTTTTTCACGTTTTGATGTTCCTGTACCCTTATGTTGTTAATCTGCACATATTATAAACTTTTAGTGATCTTTTACTTTTTGCGTAAGTGCCATTTTATATACTTTTCAGTCAGCTCTGCTCAGCTTGCCCTTCCGTAGGTCAGGGTTTTTCAGCATTAACACTATTGGTATTTTGGGCTAGAAAATTCTTTGAGGGTGGGGAGGGCTGTCTCGTGCAGTGTAGGATGTTTAGCAGTGTCCCTGGACTCTACTCACTGGATGTCAGTAATACCCCTTGCCCCACTGGGATAACCATAATGTCTCCAGACATGGTCAAGCCACCCTGGTAGGAAGCACTGAGAACCGGTGCTATTAACTTCCTGCATTTCAATACATTCTACTATACTAGGCTGTTCAGCCTTAAAGCTGCTTACCTTTTTGTAGCAGACATGATAAATCACCTCTGTGCAATATTTGGCATTGCTGTGTCTCAAGCGGCTCACATATATCAATGGTATTTGTTAGTGGAAGGCAGTGGTTCCCTACTGGTATGCTTGTTGGAATCACCTGATTAATTTCAAACACTACTGACGTATGTGTCTGAGCTTTGAGTCCAATAAACAGACAAATTTGGGAACCACTGGTGTAGGGAATAGTTCAGTGTTACTCAGGCCAGTTAAAGCTGCCTTCTTAGAGGAGTGGAACTAGAGGAATTAGGCCCTGATGGCTCAGCAGGAATTGATTATGGAACAACATTCCATATGAGAGAGTGTTCAGGAATTATACAGAGGCCGTATGCATAGAAACTGTTAAATTACTTTCTCAACGTGAGAAAGGGTCTCCCAGGGACCTCATGCAAATGTTACAGTTTAAAGTATATATACGTTTATTTTGGCTAGATATTGCCAATTTGCTCTCTAACATACATTTGCAGAAGAAATGTATGCAATACTGTTATTGCTAATGTTTGGTATTGTTAGATTTTTTAAAAAAATCATTCTGGAGTGGTATGGAATTTTTTAAATTCTTCATTTTTCTTTAAAATATTTTTGTAGGTACCTAAATAGGTGTATATACTTATGGGGTACATGAGATGTTTTGATGCAGACATGCAGTGTGATATAAGTACATCATGAAGAATATTATCCCCTCAAGTATTTATCCTTTGAGTTACAAATCATCCAGTGACATTCTTTAAGTTATTTTAGAATATACAATTATTATTGGCTATAGTCATCCTATTGTGCTATCAAATAGTAGGTCTTGATTCATTCTTTCTATTTGTTTTGAACTCATTAACCATCCCCACCTCACTGCTAACCCGTACCCTTCTGAACCTTTGGTAATCATCTTTCTGTTCTCTGTGTCCATAAGTTGAATTGATTTGATTTTTAGAACCCATAAATAAATGAGAACATGTGATGTTTGTCTTTCTGTGCCTAGCTTATTTAACTTAATATAATGATCTCTACTTCCATTCATGTTGTTGCAAATGACTGGATCTCATTCTTCTTATGGGTGACTCGTACTCTGTTGTATATATGCACTGTATTTTCTTTGTCCATTCATCTGTTGATGAGCATTTAGATTGCTTCCAAATCTTAGGTATTGTAAACAGTGCTGCAACAAACATAGAAGTGCAGATACTTCTGATATACCGATTTCCTTCTGGGTGTATACCCAGCAGTGGAATAGCTGGATCACATAGTAGCTCAGTTTTTAGTTTCTTAAGGAACCTCCAACTGTTCTCCATAGTGGTTGTACTAATTCACTTTCTCACTAACAGTGTTTGAGGATTCCCTTTTCTCCACATCCTCACCAGCATTTGTTACTGCCCATCTTTTGGATATAAGCCATTTTAACTGGGGTAAGACGGTATTTCTATTGTAGTTTTGATTCGCGTTTCTCTGATGATCAGTGATATTGAGACCTTTTCATATGCCCATGTGCCATTTGTATGTCTTCCTTTGGGAAATGTCTATTCAAATCTTTGCACAGTTTTTGATTGGATTATTAGATTTTTTTCCTATAGAATTGTTTGAGCCACTCATATATTCTGGTTATTAATCTCTTGTCAGATGGGTAGTTGCAAATATTTTTTCCCATTCTGTGGCTTGTCTCTTTACTTTGTTGATTGCATCCTTTGCTGTGTAAGAAGCTTAACTTGATGTGATCCCATTTGTCTCTGTTTGCTTTGGTTGCCTTTGCTTGTGGGGTATTGCTTAAGAAGTCTTTGCCCATACCAATGTCCTGGAGATTTTCCCTAACGTTTTCTTTTTTAATTTTAATTTTTAAAAATTTATTTATCTTTATTTCTCCCAATGTTTTCTTATAGTCATTTCTTACAGTAGTTTGAGCGCTTGGGTTTAAGTTTTTAATCCATTTTGACTTGATTTTTGTATATGGCAAGAGACAGGAGTCTAGGTTCACTCTTCTGCATATGGATATCCAGTTTTCACAGCACCATTTATTGAAGAGATAGTCTTTTCCCCAGTGTATGTTCTTGGCACCTTTGTAAAAAATGAGTTCACTGTAGGTGTGTGGATTTGTTTCTGGGTTCTCTATTCTACACCTTTGGTCTGTGTGTCTGTTTTATGCCAGTACAATGCTGTTTTGGTTACTAGGGCTCTGTAGTATAATTTGAAGTTAGGTAATGTGATTCCTCCAGTTTTATTATTTTTGCTTGGGATAACTGGGCTATTTCAGATCTTTTTTCCATATACATTTTAGGATATTTTTTTTCATGTTTCTGTGAAGTACATTTTTTTTTATTGCATTTTAGGTTTTGGGGTACATGTGAAGAACATGCAA